CAAGATGATGATATGGAGAGCTCGTTTCTCCAATTGGATCCGGAGGATCCTGGCCATGGAAAATACAAACTCCGAGTGGGATGGAAGTTGCATTTATACATATCTCAGTTGCCATGTAATTGATTTTGATATGAATTTTTGTGTTTATGGTTTTAGTATTTCTTTATCTAAATTTCTAAAAATATATGTATTTTGATTGACTCTTGTAGGTGGAGGTGTCTCGCTTAGTTTACAATTGCCGGTTCAAAGAAATACATCTGCAGAAGAAGCAGAATCTCTATCTTCAATGGCTCTGAATAATTGCTCCACACTCAGTCTTTTGGAAGCTTCAAAAGGAAACAATGGTAATAGCATATTAACGAAGCATGCCTCATTCCTGCAGTCTCCTTGAAGTTAATTAGGATGGCAAATTTTTTTTCTAGCTTAATTTTTGGTCATATATCCTTATAGTTTTATATGATGCTTTTTTAGACTTTTATAAGCATTCTAGTTCCAAATTTTATTTTAATTAGATTTATTGTTTCGAGAGGATGAGAAGGCTTATTGGTTTACTTAGAAAGCTTCTACTAAAATGAACTTATAAGAGGCTTATTTTCAGGGGATGGGACTCAACTCTTTGGCTTAGTTCAAAGGAAACCTGGTCGTGGTGATATGACATTGTCAGTTAGTTGCTCTGACAAGATATCTCGTTGGAACGTTGTTGGAGTTCAAGGTTTGTATGGAATAATAGCTGGATAATATGTGCCTTATTCTGGAACTGATACTTAGTGCCGTGATTGTTACTGCACTTTATACACTGCATAATGCATGCAGTGAGTACTTGTTGTATGCATTATCTATCATATTTGGCAGACCACATGCTGACCCTCTACTATCATTAACTGTCAAACACTTATTTGTGTGACGTCATTTTATAATGTGGCATTTGACCAGTTTTCTTGACTTTATGAATTATATACACTGTAAGTAATGTGCAGCATTGTTTTCTTTGTTGAATGATGAGGGTTCCTTTGTCTTTTTTATCAGGTGCTTTGCTTTCCTACTTTCTACAACCCATTTATCTCTCTTCCATTTCTGTCGGACAATCACCTAATGCTTCTGAGGATTTTTGCTTGGATGATCACTTGAAAAGATCCTTGCATGATCGAATTATACCTCTGTCAAACCAGTTAATTGGCCCCTTTCATGTTAATAAGGTCTGTTGGATTCATAGTATCTCAATAATATGATAAGTCAGCAGGGTTGACAAACGTTTATCTTTATGCTGTTTTCAGCCACTGTTTTCTGAAGCCCCAATACCAGCTAAGGAGTTTCAACATTCTGAGACTGCTTCAGCAACTTTAACTTGCGGGTAAATTCATTCTGTTTTTAACGATCACTTGCAGGTGGACAAATCATTTTTTCAATTGTTTGCTTGTTAAAATCTTCTGTATGAATATGTTCTCAGCTATTCTATATGTTGGAATAAGTCTGCTTTACATGAAGTGATTCTTGGAACCACTGGAAGAAAGCAAGGCACATCTGCTAAAGGGGCACTCTATCCATCTACCGAGTCATCTTTGAGCAAGTAAGTTATATATTGGTGTTCTCAGGGAAGATCTTGGAAAGACAATTGGTCATCAAGATCACTATTTTGACTAATATGTATTTCTCACCCTTCCCTCCTTAGAAAGCGATTTTTGGAGACTTTCTTATCCTTAAGGAGTGATTTACAAATCAAATGTATCCAAACTGATATTTCTTATCGAGAACTCAAGGTAAGGTTTCTGGTAGGCTGTATTGCTGACTTATATTGAAGTTTGCATTTTGAAGTGGCTTAAAGTATTCTGTGGAACTTGTTTAGCCGTGTTTGCTGCGTAAAATCAAACCCAGGGATTAATGTTATGTGTCTAGTTCTTACTATAGATGAATGTTGATAGGTATAGAGGTTTTGACCTGAAGTTATTGTTTGTCATATTTTTCTGTTGATAACAGTATATTTTCTGCAGGATGGGGCTGAAGAATATAATTCAACATCAAAAATTTTTAAAGGGATATCTCCATTTAATGACTGGCTATTGAAACCCTTAAACTTGGAGGCTTTCTCCATTAATAATGAGGTAATGCCGTGTAACTGATTGAAGTTGTCTTTAAAATGTTGGTTTGCTTCTTTGTTACTCAACCAGCCGACCTTATTTGTCAACATGGAATTCATCTCTCCTGCAAGTGATCCAGCCTGCTGCCCAGGCACTAATTTGGTCCAGAGATATACGATGTGGCATTTTAGCTTGAGTTACTTCATGCTCAGCTGCATATAGTTTTGGATATAAGATGGCTGAGACAAAATGCTTTTGCTTTCAGGCATGCTTGAAGTAATGTTCTGGCAGAGCAACTGACTTTTATTTGCAAATTTCATGCTGTTATGGGGGGTGATGATTTGGCTGCATCTGATAGAATTCAATGTCAAGCTCTTGCTGAACCTCCAAGTCACCGAGAGTATGACTTCGAGACTGAACTCATTTATTACGAAAATACGAACTTCCATGAATTTAGTAAATTCTATTGCAAATCTACGAGAAGATTATTTTCTCTCTCAACTTGTTAAGCTGGGGTATTAAAGAGCGCATTGCCTTTGGTCACTTCACCTTGCGTTTTGTCTAAATGTTTACCAGTTTTTAACCCTTTACATCACATTCCATTTTTTGTTCTAGGCTACCTGATATTTACCTCTTATTCCTTTGTTAATTTTTAGTATCTCTTTACACTCAGAAAAGGAAGTAGATTAGGGAGAAATCCATATTAAGCAATTTGTCACTCCATATAAAGTAACAAAAGAAAAAAAACTTTCT